CACAAGTTGTCTAATGATGATATCAAACTTTTTTAGCTTTCAAATTATTCAAAATTAAATAAAAACAATGATTTTTTAATATTGGAGAATCTTGAAAATCAAATCAACTTTGTCAAGATTTCTTTCATCCTTCACTCTTGTCATATACTTCATCGGTTTCACGCAATGTGGTTGAGATTCTTCTTGTTTTTGTTTTGTCGTTATTACGTCAACCTCATTACTGAAATATTATTTAAAGTTAAGAATCAATTTTTCTTGAAAGTCATCTTGAATCTCGATCAGATTCATTCGACCGTTCACTTTGTCACCCACAAAAGAAACTTGTATCGGTGAAAGACCTCCTTGTGCATCACGATTTGGAAAATGTCTCAAAATGTAGTCAATTTTCTTATTGTACCTTGTTTAAGTCTAATTCTGTACTGCAAAAGTTGCGAGGTTGAAAGAGATTGACGCTAAGTTGTGTCATTTGCAACACAAGTTGTTCCCTAGCAAATTTCATTCTCCAAAGAGTGTTGCATGAACAAGATAGTGTACTTGACGATGATAAAACCTCCAATGACTTACGATAAAACTCTGCAAGATTTTCATGAGGCATTATTGGTGTCGATTCTAAATTGATATACTTCTTTTTTGCAATATAGATTAATCTGCTCTAAAATATCTATCAATTCAACCCATTCTTGTTAAAGTTATTGGACTAAAAATCTAATAATGAAGTGTTTTACCATCAGTGCATTATTACTCAAAATTAAGATTATTGACACTATGTCCTTGAATATGTAAACTTTGAGTTATTCAATCCGACGAACTTTGCACCATATCATTATAATCCTTCATCTTTTTCTCTAACTCTTGTTTTACTTGACTCAACTCATAAATGATTGTTTCGAACAAATTTTTACTTTGTAACTCACTGATCAATTTTACACCCAATTGTTTTGAAGATAAATTTTAATATCTAACCGAATCTCATACCATTGAGATTTTCTTACTTGAAAAAACTCTGGCAAAAATATATTCCAATTCTATGAAATTATACTTTAAGTATCTATACATGTCTTTTTGTAACTTTCTAAAAACAACCTTAGATATTTGTGCTTCATCCCAACGAAGTTAATTCTTTTATTTTCAAAAAATGCATACGCAAACTTGCTTAGCTTATGCGAAAAGATACTGCAATTGAACTAGTGAGCTTCTGATACTTATTGTAACTATTTCCAGTTAGTTATAGGTTATTCAAAATGTTTATATACATACTTTAGCATGCATTAGTCATAGTTGTCACATTAGCAATATTCGTGCTTGGTAAGTAGAGAGTAGTTATGTTAGTTGAAAGCACCGCATCAGTGATCCGTGAGCAAAAGATTCAAAATTAAAATATTTGAACATACTGTAAATTTATTCTAGCTTTGGATTTTAAGTTTTTTATTTAAATTATCATAAGAAACAATCTTTTTCATTAAAAATAAATAAGTAACAATATATTATCTAAAATGTTTGTTAAAGAAAGTCATGCAATGTTCACCAGATGAAATATTATAGATTATTGTACATTACATTATAAAATAGATATATCCATATTTGAAATTTAAAGTTCAAAGTTATTTAATTGAAAATTGTCATTGAGTTATGTTGTTTCTTATCCGCATTATTAATGCGGATAAGAAAATTATTATATCTTTTAGAGCTTTACATACATGAAATCATAAATGTTAACTCGATAAACTTGAAAGACGAAAAAAGCTTAAAAAAACAATAGAAATTGAATTTTTTTTATAAAAATAATATTTTAAAAAATGAATCAAATATAATCGTCACAAAAATTACTGAGTGATCATTTTATTTTGATTATTCAATTTATGCTTATATAATATGATATCGTGTGTTTGATATGGATTTTTTTAAGTCAACTAGTACATAATTCATATTATAAGTTATATGTTAGTTTTAACAATCTATTATGTGTTACCTTTGACTTGATATATTTAATCTACAAATATCAATGATATATTCGTGCACATGAGTGACTTTACGGTCAATGATGTTGTATTACATTCAAATATAAATGTTGATTTAAAAGATAACTAACTACTATGAATTAGAATGATTGCTATAATTCTAAATAAAAAACCATCTCACTGTACCAAATGTAGATTGCTTAGTTGTTTGAGCAAATATATAGAAAGAATAACCTGCATGAAATTAGACATTGTAGATCAGATGTGTAAAAAAAAAGTGTATTGTACATCTTTTGTTTGGGTATATTATATAAACTCTTATAAACCCTTATAAATTTAAATGAATAAATTTCAACATGTCGCAAGAATCTTCACGAACTGCAACAACAAAATGTTGTAATATAATGTGCTTCAACATGATCTATAACATATACCCAACTCAAAATCTAAAAAACATGTAATGAACATAAATTATTTTATCACAACCTACCAAGCGCTAACCACAATATTTGTTTATTTAGACGTGAAGTAAATATAAACATGAGTAGAACCACTCTGTTGGTATACAAATAGTTTATTCCAAAAAAGAACCATAATTATAATTGAACTTTTGTTGTTGTTTGCATATTATATGATATGGTATCTTATTTCAATCTTTATAAATGTTTTGGTCGTTTTACAGATAGTCTTATCTTCACATTCAAAAAATATAACTCCATTAGAACTAATTATGAAGCAAAGTTCTATCCAGAGTAGCCCACGGTGACGGTGGATGGGCAAACTTTTGTTTGGCTATACACTTCTCAGTTATACGTGTAATGCTAGATGATGAAGGACAACGTATCCATGTGGCCTGCTACTTTGCAGAAACCATTTCAGTCCCTATAGACCGAAGAAAGGCATTTCAGCATTGACTTTCCCACGTGAATGTACACCATTCAGTTCTTCTCACAGTCATTAAGAATTCCCAGATGTGCGTAGAAACTATTGTAAAGCAGAGCGCGATTACAGGCAAAATCGAAAGCAACCTTCGATCCAGTCCTTGTCTCTTGAAGTAACTTCGACGAAGAATACAACGGAGGACATTCTTCTCGTTCAAATTGAGCACGAACAGGTCGAAGAACACGATGACTTACCACCGAGCAGATTACCCGTCGTGGGAATTTGCTAGGAAGGTAAATTGCGAATGATCCATGTCGAAGGCAAATGCCCTCCTTCTGATGAAACATGATCGGCCGGAATATAAAGCGAGTGGCTGCGTGGATCCAGTAAGATAAGGTGCCCGCTGTAGTAAAATCCCAATTGGCGTGAGGTAAGGAACACCATAGAATCCGCATGACCACGTTCGGCGAGCGGCGGGTGGAGAGGTAATAAAAAGATGACCCGGCGTTCCTCCTATCACGCCAGCTGTGCCTGGGTGCCCATCATCACTCATGATCTGGACGTTGGGGATGGTTTGCTCTCTTTCGTATAAGAACCAACTGTCAGGCCGCATTGACATGGTGAAGTGGAGTCCACTTGTTCTTGTACCGGGCAGACAAAGCCGCCTGTTATCCGGCGGTTATCCACCTTAATATAGATTCGATACTGTACCGTACTTCTAGAGGAGACGGAACTCTGCACTCCCTCCGTACGAAGTTTACCGTCGTCGCTGTGCCCCGCGGTCAAGTACGTCTGACTCGAAGCTGTTACCGTCTGTTAGCACGCGATCGGCCTTCGGCGATCTCCTACGTCACTTCGAATCGTCGATCTTCCGGTCTACGCTCGACCCCCGTCGGACTTTTCTTGACCGTGGGGTAGGTTAGCACCATCCCATCGCCTTCTGGAACAAATGAGCTTCCGGAAGGAAGAAGAGACGCCCACTTTGCGAGAACGTGTGCATGGTTATTAATATTTTACGAGATAGAATAGAAAGCGAATAGAAAGGTCGAAGCATTTTGAGGCGTCGGGAGTCAGGATTCATTATTTAAGCCTACACATGTCGAAGATATGTTTAAAAAATACTTCGGATATTAGGAAGGATCTGTAGACTTATGGTAGCGAGTAGCGAAGTCCTTCCCTTCTCGAGACTTCAAGCTCTCAGAAGCTCAGTCAGACTCCACGGGCGATACTGCGGGACCGGCTGAGGGAAGCAGGTACAGGCAGGATGAGACTGGGGGCATCGGTAGCCAGCCAGTCGCGCTCCTTGGCGCAGCTCGTACCCTAATCCGCGATGGGTAGGAGAAGAATCCCGCAAGAAATGACTTTCTCCCTCTCCTGCTTTTTTACCATTCCGGTCTCCCGGTCCACACTACACCATCGGACATCGTCATCATTAGAAATATTTCGGGCTCAGTTGACATTCTCTCTTAATTAATAAAGGATATTCTTCAATTAGATTATGGAAAAACATAGACCTTCGTCCCGTTCTAGGGTCGAGTGCCCAGGTCTCCACTCATCCTTCTACGAGCTTGCTTTTAATATCGTACGAATAGAGTGCGCAGTTCTGAGTCAAGATGGCATAAGAAGAAGAGGAAGAAGAAGACCTCGATCCGAGGGTTCCCGTCGTAATGTCCAGTCACCGATCCTTTTTGCTTTTGCTATATTGCTGTCTCCCCTTCTTCACCGAAATGAATAAAATCTCGAGGTTTTCGAGTCCGTCGACACGTGCCAGTCAGCCGAGGGAATAAAGAGTGGAGCAATTATTAATGGGGAAGTTGGCTTGGCTTAGACAGGGAAGGAAGAACCCTGACCTCCCGTGCCGGGGGAGGGGAGGGGAGGGATGCGGGGCCCACCAGAGGCCAATTTTACGGGGCGGAGTTTCGGATGGTGGGCGAAGTGGGCGAAGGCGGAAAATTCCGGGCGCATTCTAACGAATGTACCAGGCGCGCGAGGGCTCTACAACGGAGCGGGGGCCAGGGTCGGGGGAGGGGACGGTAGGCCAAAAGCGCAGAGAGGCCGCGGAGGTGGGGCCGGCATGATTGTGGCCCGGTGTCAGGTTCGGCTGTGGACCTGAGGTGAAGAGCGGGGTTAGGGGCGGGGGAGAATCCGGACACGAGCGGAGCGGGCTGCGCGGAGCAGGACAAGCTGAAGCCTCGCTTTTCTTTGGAAAAGGCGAAGGGCCACGGGAACGGGGCATTAGGTTTTTACTGCATGCCTTTTTATAACTGGCACCATCTGTCACCACCTCAAACTGCGCGCACAGAGGCACTGTGGCTGCTGCGTCCCTGTCCCGTCTCGCTCGTCGCATCTCCTCGACTTGCCTTTATCATCGGCCCCGAGCGAGTGCAGTTATCCTCTTCCATCCTTCCCTCTCGATCACCATCCGTTCCCAGAAGCGGATCTGCCGACGTTCCTGAACTTCTCATCTCCAGCTCAGGCGAGTTCTCGTTCTCGTTCGCCGTCCTTTTTCCGATTGCCATGCGTTAGGTTTTGCGTTCTAGCTTGTTTGTGGATCGGCCGGTTCATGCGATTCGCGAACATTGTCTTGCCCTCGAGCTGCGGCGTTTCAACGAGTACGCTCGGTTTCGTGTTTGCCCGCTCTTCTCGAGATTTTGCCGATTTTTTTCCTCTGCGTTGCCCGGCTGTGAATGTCGTCTGTCTTCCACTGTATTTTTTCAGTGGACGTCGCAAATCCAAGCTGTCTTTGCATCCCTCTGCTGTAGATCGATGTGTTCAGTGTAGCGGAATGTCTTCACTGTTGTCTGCTCACGTTTCAACCATGGGGGAAGGCGTTTTGGCGATTCCAGCATTGTGGAGAGATATTTGGCCACCGCTCGCGATTCGCCATTCTTCGTCTTTTCTTTGTCTAGCTTCTGTTTTCTCGCTTTCCTCTCTGAGGATAGCATTCCTGATCGTCCGTGAGTCATATTTCGAATAGATCGCACGTACCACTGTAATGCTGGCTGTTCAGGCCATGGACCTGCATTCCGAGGAAGGCCATTAGGTACTGAACTTTGGGATCTTGTGTTCGTATGTATCCAATGCAGGACTTTCCTCTAGCAACATGGCCCACATCGTCGGATACCCCCGCATGGGCCCCAAGAGGGAGCTCAAGTTCGCTCTTGAGTCCTTCTGGGATGGAAAGTCCTCAGCTGAAGATTTGAAGCAGGTTGCGAAGGACCTGAGAGCTTCGATCTGGAACCAGCAGAAGGAGGCCGGAGTTACATGGATCCCAAGTAACACCTTCTCCTACTACGACCACGTCTTGGACACCACTGCCATGGTTGGAGCTGTCCCCGAGCGATACGGATGGACCGGACCCTCCGTCGAGTTCGACACCTACTTCTCTATGGCTCGTGGAAACAAGACCACCCCCGCCATGGAAATGACCAAGTGGTTTGACACCAACTAGTAAGTCGTGCCTGCAATCTCTCCGCGACTGTGTTTCTTCAGATCAGTATGAGTTTATACGATTTTCGATTCGAATAAATACCACTTGCCGTATGCCTGGTTGTTTACTCTCTGATTCCTTGTTCTAATAATGGGTCGAACATTCTGCAGCCACTACATTGTGCCTGAAATCGGCCCCGAGACCAAGTTTTCTCTGGCTTCCCGCAAGGCCCTTGACGAGTACAAGGAAGCACTAGAGGTTTGTTAAACTCTTGAGTCTCTCCTCACGGCTTTATTCTTCCGCATTTGTCAGCACGTGTGGTTTGCATTCGTCTGCATGTGGCGAGGAAAATCCCATACGACTTAATATGTGATCTTTTGTCGGTATGTGCAGTTGGGAGTCAAGACCGTCCCAGTCTTCGTGGGACCCGTTTCCTACTTGATCATGTCCAAGGCCACCAGGGATGCCCCAAAGAACTTCGATCCCCTCAGTCTTCTTGACTCTATCCTCCCCGTCTACAAGTAAGTTCCAGATAGGCGCTCGTATTATTGTGATGTCAGTTTTGTTGAGCCAGACAGGGTATTATGCTCTCACAATTGTGAACATCACGAAATGTTTCACTCGATCACTGACAATGAGATGTCAGAATTTCCGCATGACTCACATTGTGTGCTATTGCGAATGCAGGGAAATTCTCTCTGAGCTCAAGGCAGCTGGTGCGCACGGTGTTCAATTCGATGAGCCTACACTCGTTCTGGACCAGGAGTCTAGCCGGTACGAGGCCTACAAGAAGGCTTATGACTTCCTCGGAGCTGAGTTTGGCTCGGGTATTTTGATCGAGACTTACTTCGCTGATCTTCCCGCCGAGGCCTACAAGTGAGTTATATTCTTCCCATCTGTTTTGAGTCGTCGTTTGACGTACTGAGAATGCGATGTATCCACGTATGCTCTTCTCCACACCCTAGAACCGTCCTTTAGAGAGTGATATTCGGATTACCTTACGGTATTAAGTTTCTCACGGGCATGTCACTTGTGCCATTGCACCAGTCTCGTTGTTAGGATTCACGGACGAATTAGATGTCTTCGATCAACTTATATTGTGTAGGAGGACTCCGATTGTGTTGTGGCGTATTATTGACATCATCGTACACGTCAATGCAGGACCCTTATTGGATTGGAGAGCGTGGGTGCCATCGGAGTGGATCTTGTCCGTGGAACTAAGACCTTGGAGCTCATTAAGGAGCACGGCTTCCCCGCCGAGAAGAAGCTTCTTGCCGGAGTTGTCGATGGACGCAACATCTGGGCCAACGACTTGGCTGCTTCTCTCACACTCCTTGAGGGTTTGGTCGCTGATTTGGGAAAAGGTACTACTCAAAAACCATCTTTCTATTATCCTTCAATCTATGTGTAGCTTTATATCTCATGCTGCAAGCTACCTTTGGTGCTGATTTTATGTGTTGAATGTCACAGACAGAGTCATGGTCTCCACTTCATGCTCTCTCCTCCACACCGCCGTCGATCTCAAGAACGAGACCAAGCTTGATGACGAGATGAAGTCATGGATGGCATTCGCCGCTCAGAAGCTTCATGAAGTCGTCGCACTGGCCAACGCCCTGAAGGGTAACAAAGACGAGGTAAATACTCCGTTATAGTTAGCTTGTGTAGAAAGCTTAACGTTCAGTTGTCATCTTCACGAGTGAATTGTATAGTGTTTCCACTGTATGCTCCTTTAGATGAGCGACAATTCATTTTGTAGAGCTGACCCAAATATTTGCTCCGGGATTTTGCTTGTGTACGAGCTTAAGTTTCTTGAGTACGTAGGTCTCTTAAATGTTATCCCTCGGCATACAGACATGGAGTCGTTTTGGATTTTTCAGAGGTGAGCTGACTCATGACTAACATTGCACCTCTCCTGCCATCAGGCCTTTTTCGCTGCCAACGCTGCCGCCCAGGAGTCCAGGAGGAACTCTCCCCGAGTACACAACGCTGCCGTCAAGGAAGCTGTAAGTTGCAAACGGTCTTGTGAGTCGTTTTCGCGAAAGAGAATTGCCCCTTTTGTACCCGGTATTGATCTTACTCATTAACTGTCGTTTTCGTGCAGACTAAGAACTTGGAGGAATCTGAGCACCGCAGAGCCACCCCTGTGGTCAACCGTCTTGAGGAGCAGCAAAAGAAGTTGAATCTTCCGATTTTGCCCACCACTACCATTGGATCTTTCCCTCAGACCCCTGAGTTGCGACGTGTGAGACGTGAGGTCAAGAGCAAGAAGTAAGTGACTTTCTCTTTCAAGAGTTGTGGACCATTTTCTTTGTTGACAATCGAGTGGAAGAAAGTGCGCGAAGTCACTGGATGCGTGTCAGCTGGAAGACATTGTAGTTCTCTTAGCCATCATTGCATTGTCTGACGTCCATTCCATTTGTTGACATTATCACTCTATCCGCTGTGCCTTAGGATTACCGAGGAGGAGTACACCAAGGCTATTCAGACCGAGATTCAAAATGTCGTGAAGCTACAAGAGGATCTTGACCTCGATGTCCTTGTCCACGGAGAGCCGGAGGTATTTCTAATTGTTGACGCATGCAGTGTTGTCTTAATGAATGTGATTGAATACTGACTACTCCAGGCACTTGGCACGCAAGCGTGGAAGTGTTGCGGTTCACGAGGTTGCTTACCTTGGCCGTGTGATATGGTCGCCTTACTGGACTTGGAAAATTGGATTCGTCTTGCAGAGGAATGACATGGTCGAGTACTTCGGGGAGCAGCTCCAAGGATTTGTCTTCACTGCCAACGGTTGGGTCCAATCTTATGGTTCCCGATGCGTGAAGCCACCGGTTATTTTTGGAGATGTGAGCCGACCATCTAGCATGACTGTGTACTGGTCCAAGTACGCTCAGAGCTTGACCTCCCGACCAATGAAGGGAATGCTCACTGGACCAGTGACCATCTTGAACTGGTCTTTCGTCCGTGTCGACCAGCCAAGGTCTACCACCTGCTTGCAGATTGCTCTGGCCATTAAGGATGAGGTCGAGGACCTCGAGGCCAATGGCATCACGGTAAGCGCCTGGTACTCTTCTTTTGGGGTTGTTTGAATTGACGAATAGTGTAGCCCTTTTTTCAGAATTTAACATTTTTATGCTCCATGCCTTGTGAAATTCGAAAATAACGGCCGGGTACTTGACGTTTGTGCAGGTTATCCAAATCGATGAGGCTGCTTTGAGAGAGGGACTGCCACTGCGTAAGTCTGAGCAGGCCTCTTACCAAGACTGGGCCGTTCACAGTTTCCGTATCACTACCTGTGGAGTGAAGGACACCACCCAGATTCACACTCACATGTGCTACTCTAACTTCAACGACATTATCCACTCTATTATCGACATGGACGCCGATGTTATTACAATCGAGAACTCTCGATCAGACGAGAAATTGCTCTCAGTCTTCCGTGAGGGAGTGAAGTACGCTGCCGGTATCGGACCAGGAGTTTACGACATCCACTCCCCACGTATCCCATCCACCGAGGAGATGGCTGACCGAGCCCGCAAAGTAAGTACATGTTGCCGATTTTTTTTTTGTTTCGTTTACTGCATTGTCAAAATCCAATACTTCATTCATGTCATACCGTCCTAACACAATTTCCGTGTGTGCTGTAGATGTTGGCTGTATTGGAGTCCAAGGTTCTATGGATCAACCCCGACTGTGGTTTGAAGACTAGGAAGTACGCTGAAGTTGTGCCTGCTCTAACTAACCTGGTTGCTGCCACCAAGCAATTGCGCGCTGAGCTCGCCTCCGCCAAGTAAAGCCATTTGCAGAGTTGATCCGACTTCATGGCACAATGAGCATTCTACTTAACATCATTCATGAGTTTGGTAGACTTTTCCACTACTTGTTAGGTTAACTTGATATATTAGAGCCTGGTGGTGGTTGGATGATGATCAGTGATAAATTTTTGAGTCACTGCGTCTGTTCTGTAATCATTGTCGGCAGTTGATATTTACAGCCCTTCAAAGGGATTCATTCTTGAGTAGATGGCCTCGTATAGTATAGTTTGAACTTACTAACACGAAGCAAATGAGATTCGAAAGCTTGTACCGAGTTTCAAGGCTTACGCCGCTAAGAAAATTCAATTACACTTCGTTATTGTAAATTGCGGATTGCATGTATTTTTGAATATTGATGAGCGTTGGTGGATTATATTCTGAGTTAACTGCTGCACATTAGAAAACTTACCAAGTGACTTCGCCTGTACAATTTGTTTCTTTACTCACAAGGTACGGTCCACAAACGTATTGTAGACGCAACATTTTGTAAATATAACGTTGTTCGTTACTGGCAGAACCTGTTTATACACTGTTACTCTTGTAGACAATATGCGTGTAAGCAAAACTACTGTCTAGTTGGTACGTATTCTAGTTGAGGTTGGATTGGTTTGGACTTGCCTTCCACAATAAATAATTCGCCGCCAGAAAAGATACTTCATCAGTTGGAAATAACTGGCAGAAATACCTGCGGGCCAGTTTAAATTCAAAATCGTTTATTTTTGGTTTAAAACTAACATTTTTAAAGACCGATATAACAACAATAACCTACGTATTCCCCGTAGTGCGTTAAAGTGGAAAAAAATTTTCCTCAAAAATTGTATATTTTTCTTGTCACAACTACGTTCACCATATATATCCTGTGCAATAAAGATGAATACCTCTTAGAAATATTTCCCAGTCAACTATGGTGAATGTATAACTTTAGATTATTATGTAATATCAACAATATATATAGTTGTTACTATATAATAACTCCAACATCACGTAAAAACTGTGTGAAAATTACAAACATTTACCCATACATCATCTCCAAATATCGTCACTGTTTGAGGTTTAATGTAGAAAATTGTGTGCACAACCTTGAGCGCGTAAATAGAAAAATATTCTGATTCTATATAGCTACACCCCTAAGCAGAATCACATCAACATGTAACTAAATTCAGTTTTCCGAGAAGGATAAAAACTACCACATCAACACCTGCGAGCATATCTTGACAGATCCAATTACAAATCACGTCGCATTAATTCCGAGACTGACCTTGAAAGCTCTTGAAAGGCTGGATCTGGGAGCGCAATTACGAGGTGAGGCATGAGAACAAGATTAACTCAAGCTTTCAAGAAATGGGATGGGAGAAGATACTTCTGAGGTTAGACTTCTAAGATTTCAGTGACATTCTGCCACGGACGTCAAAATGACACTGGGAAAGTTGTCTCTCTTTGACATGGTTAAAAACACGTGTTACCCTAAATATGTGAAATCGTCACGCTGTCATATCTCATAAGATACCATTCACATCACTCAGAACATCCGTTTTTCTCGTGTAAAATCTACTCAACTTGGCATTTACCATTTACTCCAAACATAAAACATTTTATTCCAAAATAAAAAGTAAAATTTTTCTCAGCTTTGGTCCCAAATACGTCTGCCGTTGTTTGTGCGCGGTCCTCGCATACATATTCACTCACAATATTGAATTCGCAAGCCAGCCATGCTGGCTGGTGATAAGTAATGCCTGACATATTGGCAGCCAGTATGATTTGTATTATGCCTTGCTTGCCATGATGAGTCCTAGAGATGGGCAATACCTGAAGAAATTCCTCTGAAATACGCACAACCTGATTGGTACAGAGTTTGAATTACTGTCGTATTTTGTCTCATGACATTAAGCTACTTCGTCAAGAAATGATTTTCGGATCTACTTTCCTAATCTCTCGGTCAAGAAGAAAAATACAAATTAGAGCCGCCAGCACCTACTAAGATCACTGATAAAACTTGGAAGGCAGATGCTCTGGTCGCAACATATGATCACACCATCTGCCAAAATCTGCCAACCTAGAAATCTGAATGCAGATCCTCAATAGCTTTAAAGATGAGGCTATTTGAAAGTAGAGCACGTGTCACCCATGTGATTCGTGCTACGTAAACTTAATGCGAACACTGTCCACACCACTTCACGAACTGTACAAAGGACTCCATCGCAGCTTACAACCCTAAGCACAAGGTTTTCCACTTAACAGTGGAAACGGGTCCTGCTTGCTGAGAACCACTACCTTACTTTTATGAGACAAATAACCCCTCATCAAATTTTTATGTATTAAAGTAGCCATGATGCATTCCACCTGCACATCGCGTCAAAAATAGCACATGAGTAACTTCGTACTTTCAGAGTCTTGACTTTGAATCTATAAAATGGACGAAAATGAATGAACCAACAGATCAGAAATGGATCAGAAATGCTGATGCTCAAATATTGTTCATCCGATAAGGGGGATTCACCACTCCTCTCCAAATCTTACAATCACCTTCAAAAAATTAATAATTCTCACGAATGCAGTTACCGCATCACCATTATGTAGATACAAATGCTAGGAGAGGCTGCGATAGTACGATTGGGGAAAAACATATATCTGCTCAATACAATCATTCTAAGAGCCAAAATGAGTACCTCATCTATGTCCATGTCTATTTGGAGCCATTTCAGTGCCTTTAATATGCTATCCATCTTTATTTGGTGGGCTTTGCTTGGGTCCTTTTGCTTCTGAATAAGATGTCTGCACAATTGGGACAAGAGTTTCAGAGCAGATACAAGATCAAGAGTGTACATGATCAAGCGCATGAGATGGTCATTAACTCTTGGCCAACAATTTAGGGTTTAGAATACAACTCACATTTTTTTCATCAATCTTTGGTAGACTTGAAGCTCCAACTTTTCCAACACAAGGTAGACACCAGACCTCAGAAACCTTCACCAACAACACAAAACACAAAACACAAACCACAAATCACAAAAGGTTTTCATCAAGCACGATGTGCATTTTTGGTAGCAATGTGTTCAGTATTTTGTCCGGGTCATAGAACTGACTCTTGTATCCTGGAGAGTCCAGTAGCTTACTCACAACCTTGAACATGAGCGAGCAGACATATATAAACCTCCCAATTACAATCACGAAGTCACATGAAATATACTAAGACGTAAAACATCTGACAGGAAAGTTTAGGTCACGCACTGGTCTTCGTTGGCCTGCAACGCATATCTGAGCAGACGAATATCTCCCCTTCGAAGAGCTTGGACGATATCATTGTACTGAGTACCAGCGAAAGATTTATGAGTTTCAAAGATATAGGAGAGAAGTTGACTTGCGACAAACAAGCAAAAAGAGGGCTTGGTGCTCTGCTCTTCCCTTCCAGTCCTATTGTCAGTTCGGAGGTCACAACTGAGAAGCTAAACATGGATTATAAAGAAGACATATACAGCCATCATCAAAGTTGAGCTGTTTGGCAGAGACTAACGAGTGCTGATCAGTCTCGTACGGGAAGAAAAGTAAATAAGGCGTCTTGCACCAATCTTATAAACTTGGTGGTTGGGCTGAAAATAACTCATTAATTTCCAATCGATATCATAGAGCTTCTTAAGCAAGTCCCCTTTGATTGAAGAATGAAGATCAAAGTGAAACTAGTTTGAATCACATGTGGTCAATGATATGTTACCTCCATGATGTGATACTTTCGAAGAAGCCATTCATTTGGGAGAATACCTAACGAAAGCTTGACTGGAACAAGGTACTTCAAAATCATCCTGCTTGAAGAATAGCGCGTGTAAATGAAAATGGACATGAACAAAATAGAAACTAACCTTCAGAGGAAATCAACGTACGTCCTTGCTCAGCAGATTTAAACAGCTAGTTCGACTGTTCAGGGGATAAATCTCCAAAGTAGAAATGAACTCACGTTCTTCACTATTGTCAGATAATTACTGGCAAAAAGAGTTGAACCAATTTATACCTGATGTTTGCATCTTTTGAAGGGTCACAGTGCCCCAATGCATACCAGAGTTTCTTATCTGCCTGCGCCCAGGAAGTATTCGGATTACATTAGGAAAATGATATACATTGGCAGAAAAGGGACATGGACAACAGGATAGTGAGTACTTGATACCTTTAAATCGTTTGAAGAAACATATTATTTTGGAAAAAAAACCCTTTCCTGATTGAATCATGGTGACCTCGCCTACTGCTGAATGGAATTCACTTGGACACAATTTTAATGTAAGCACCTAAAGAGAGTTTAGCTTTACCTGAATGAAATTGTCGTTGAAGACCTCCAGACGCCCAGTATAATACATATATGTGACCTGCAAGATTCACCATGACATTGAAGTCAAAGTCCAGATGATCAGATGTGCCTCTATCTTGAGAAATGGAGTAACGTTGGGGCATATGAAACCTGATCCAGCACCAGTATCGTTATGCTAACACGTGTCATGATAAGCTTACCTTATCTCTTGTTGGAAATTCTTCGAAATCGAAAACTCGTGCTGTCTCGATACTTCTAATTACACTTCTGCACAGATGAACAGTTCCCAGCTAAAACAAAGATCGAACACAAATTTAGTACACAACCGTCTAAGGGATTACTAAGCTCCACAAATGATACATGTACAAATTATTCAATAGAAACTCAAGTCGTACAAACATTGGGGTTACTGAGGTTACTCAGTTGATAGGTCTTACATTCAACCACTCTGTGACTCAAAATCTCTAACAACAGCAATTCGCGACCTCAATGCTCCACTAACCTTGAAGTAGACCTTGAAAAGCTGGCAGGTCACATATAGTGCTCCAACTCTTTTCGGCCCTTTACCCTGGATGTAGCAATACACCATCAGCATCATCACTGCCCAACCACTCATGTGAAGCCATCTTCATCCGAGGAAGAACATTCGACAAGTAATCAGAGCTCTACCACACACTAGTCAAAGATGCATCAGACAACGTGGGCATCATTGGCAACCAAAAAATGTGTCTCATAATGCTCGAAGTTTTGAGGACCCACGTGAAACCAGAACGTTCAATTTAGAAATTAGGGTCACAAATGAATGTTCCGCACCGCAAGAGCTCCAAACACTTTCATCAGAAACGAACCAGCTCCTTTTAGCTTGTCAGGAACTTTTCCGTTGTTCGCCATCTCTCGATCAGCCTGTGCGGTAGAAGAAAACTCCATCAAACAAAATACATGCGCGAGAAGTTTATCAAAAGGATGACTACGGTTGTTACTAAGCTCAAGAAGATGTCAAAAAGTGACAATCACTTCAAAGGGATAGTAAATCTTACCAGCTCAGCCAGTGTCCGTAACTCAAAGACGACAGTGTGAAGAGCTTTCATTGCCCAAGCGCTCTCCCAATTACGAAACTCTTGAAGAAATGGACTTTGACAAATAAGGAGACACAACCAGCTTGTGAAGCAACCTATGAAATATTAGCAGCATAATTCATCCAAGAAACCTAAAGCTGAAGACACCATTCTCGCGCCTATACTCTCCGAACTCACGTATGAAGGATACTTGGCAGACTTCTCCAGGGAATTGTAAGCATCCAGATAGCGCCGGTGTCTATATGCTTGCATGCATCGTATGTGATGTCCAAGCATTTCACCAAGTGGAGCATGCTTGTCAACCTGTTTGATAATGCGGCTAGGATCCTGCTCCAAATCACACAGTTTAAGATTTTTAAAACTTCTCTCTCAGCTGATAACTGATCAACCATCTGAAATTTAATCAGTGAGTTGATTGTTGGCATGATAAGACTAAGTACAGGTTTAAAAAATATAAAAAAAGACGGAGAAGAAGCGCATGAGACAGGAAGTACACAAGACAAACAGCCGTAAAGTGAATGACGAGTACATCGACTATCTCCAAATTCGAGAATGAAGCTGGAGAGTGGAAGATAGACAGCAGTTACGATTGACCCTACTGTAATCCGAAAGCTAGACGCTGACCAAAGCTGTTAGATTCACATGACAACAAGCCAATTGGATGGCATACAAACCAAATAAATAAAAGAGCTCACTAAAACCACGTTACCTTCACGAGGTCAAGAGCACTGCCGACCGCGTCTCGAAAGGGAGACGAGGTGATAGCCAGAAGAGCGGACAATTGCGTGCCATTTTGAGACGTGAGAGCGTCAATGAAACGATTTACATAATCCTGCAACCTCTTCTGACCTTCGATAGAACCATATGCCATTGTTCCTCCGGAGTCACAAAATCGCGAAGATTCAGAACATTCTTGTCACTCCAGCAGTCCACATTACTCCCGAAACAATCCAAAATTCATGACGCATCACACACCTTTCCGACTCACTTCTGCGATTTTGAGCCCGCTCAGAGTTCTGGCGATTGGTAAAACATTCTTTTCTTCCCCGTACAGACAAGATCTATGGAAAACTCCGATTTCGATCAAAACCATGTTCAGTCTACAAGAGAGGAATTTCGCATGCCAGCTTGGCATGCCCCACCTCGTCTGCTAGCTCCAACCTTCTCCAATGCATGCAAATTGAGTTCCGATTTGGTTTACTGTAACTCAAGGCACTGCCCGCATACTTCGAGATGGCAATCGGAGACGATTATTTTCTCCGGCCACAGCAGCAATATAATCACAACCTAAAATGCTTACTTCCCTCTCTCTCTCTTTCGCTCCTCTGCTGCTGCTGCAAGTCAAATCTACTGTACTGTGCCCAAAAGCGCGCCACTGCGTCTGCACAGAGTGCAATTTCTTTGTAACGACGTGAGCTATAGATCAGACAAAACTTTTTTCGGTCTAACGAGGCAACAGGCTCCGGCCAGGACTGCTACCGTACGGTGCAGGACGGACGGACTGACTGACTGACTGACTGACTGGCATCCGTCCACAGTTCCCGTCGGCTCTGTTCGCCGTTGACACCTTTCCATCTGCACAGTACAAAGTTCTGTCACATCGTTTCATGTTCTCTCGGAGGTTTTTTTCCTGAATGTGGATTGGTATTATAACTTTGCGGTTGCTCGATTTGATGGGTCTTACCATGGCCCCACATTCATCACAGGTGACTTGCAAGTGGCAATAATACCCTTTAGCCATTAAGCAAAGCTTCTGTTCCAATCCAATCATCGAAAGTTATGACTTCCCTTGAATTGCTTTGGCCCCTTCAAAAGGGAATAACTTTTCTTTTCTATAATAGTTTTTGTATTTCCACCCACAGCCTATTGTCATGCACATGTGATTATTCTTCAGTCTTTAGCAGTACTCTCTGCCCCAAATATGCATGAATGGAGATATAAGTTGTACAATAATTTTCTAGAATGTTATTGCAGGATTGACCGCATGTTGAATAGAAGGGACCAAAGCAAAAAGGATAAAAATTAAAAACGATATGTTTTGTTTTCGTCTTGTACATTACTCATACACATCATCATGAAAGTGACATCCTCAATGTTCCATGTCCAAAGCTTGCATCGCTTTACTTCGTTTCATATAATTTAATTTATTTTAGGTTTTTTTTCTCTTTTCTAGTGTAGAGTTTGCGGCCAAACATCTATCTACATTCTTACAGTCGGGACGTAGCCTTTGGATCCTTGTCCTTGATGTCTGTCTTCTCATCTTTTTTCTATCCACTTGGCCCTCCTTTCCTGTCTTCCAACGTCCGGCTTTATAGCTACAATTCTACGATGGTTTTCCATAGCTCATCAACTGTTTAGGTCGAAAAGGCCAACTGCCAATGAAGCCATCCACATAGATCGTATTGTCCCAGGCTTCGGAACATTTCGATTATCACATTACGTTCAGTAGCACACGGTTTGATTGTTTATATTCATTCGTTTACATATTACGATAGGAGAAGAAACTGCGAGTTTATTTGACATGTGTAGCTGAATATTTAGAATATAAGCATGGATTACAATCACTTCAAGGCAGAAGGCCTGTTTCGGCGCATAGTAGGCTTGAGGTTGAAAAGGATACTGTAAAAAACCTCTTTTGATCAATGGGTTAACCTGGGCATTTTTAGAGTACTATGGCTAAGGTTCCTAGTACTGCCCGTTGGATTTGGAATCTACATGCTGATGCTCATGATTTTGACAGCCATTTGGAGAATATTGCACATAAGGTTAAATTCAGCTTATGCATTACTCATATTGGAAGCTGTGATGCTCATGATTTTGACAGCCATTTGGAGAATATTGCACATAAGGTTAAACTCAGCTTAGGCATTACTCATATTGGAAGCTGTGATGCTCATGATTTTGACAGCCATTTGGAGAATATTGCACATAAGGTTAAACTCAGCTTATGCATTACTCATATTGGAAGCTGTGAAACAAATACTATTGGTTCAATTGATGTGGAATTTTATCAAATTTTTACCGGTTTCACTATTTTTTCATGGCATCATACTGTATGATGCATTAAAAAAATAGCGTGAATAATATGATGTACAATTCATACATCATATTATTCTCCCTTCATTGTATTTGCGCAGTACACTAAGAACTTAAATATTGTCATATTAATCCAAAATCTTATCAAAATAATAACATCAAAACATAGATTTACGTTACATTAACTATCTCAATACATTGATCTCTATGTACTCTAATTTGTAACATATGAAGTTATTACATAAACAGCTTGCTTTAAAAAGGTTTCCTTTCCACTTTGAAAAAAATTTCATGGTTTGATTGTATGCAAATCTTAATACTCATAAAAGTTGCGACTTAAGATATAAAATACAAATTTGTAAATAAGCAAATTATTTTTTATAAATTACAATTGTATATATATAAATACAGTTTACAGTCATATCTCCAGTTTATTATTTTATAAGGAATTTATATTAAAAATAATAAATAGTGTTATAATTCTGAGTTCAGCCATTGAAAATCTATTTTTCCAAAATTTATATTAAATTAAATAATATTTTAAAAAAATTACAGATAAAATCCACATTTTAAATAAAAAAATTCATCGTAAGAAATGTAATATATCATAAAATTTAAAATTTCTTAAATAAAAAATTTTCAATATCTTTTGAAATGTAAAGTAGTTTTTATATAACAAATTAATTTACGAAATTAAAAACTCCAAAGTATGGAATACAAAATTTCACAAAAAACTGCTCTATTTATTTAAAAATAACTAATATCATTAACTTTTTAATTTATTTAATCTTACATTTTATTTCTATAGTTTATTTTGATTTACTAGTCTTATTTTTTATTTTTTATCAACTAAATTGAAATTTTATTTTCGCTTCAGATTTACGAAATTTCAGTTATAATATTTTTTAATTTTTATTTTTTTTTACATACACGAACATTGAGATAAAATTTTATTCACTAAATCAGTATTTATTGAATAAATAAATAATTTTATTTTAAATGTATTATATTTAAAAAAATTACTATTAATTGAATTCTAATCACGGTTGACCTAAAATCCGTGATTTTGTGAAAAAAATATAATTTTGATAACAATGTTATCGTGAATATGTTTCGTAATCATTGCAAAATCATTTCATTGTAAAAAATTGAAATGCAAATACGTATGCAGCACATCATAATATAATTTGAAATATAATAATAAAACTTTCAATATATTATCTTTTATATCTATTGTAAATATATGAATAAAAAAATTTCATTCAAATAATTAATTAATCTATGTTAATGAATATATGTACCAAGTCATGAATATTGGTATTATAATACATCAATTTTATTAGATACTCATATATATTCATGCTTACTTTTTACTTTTGTACATATAAAATAATTTACTTAGCATTTTATTAACCACATTTATATGTTAAATTTATATTTCGTTATTTTAATTTTTTTATTTGTGACCAAAAATATTAAATATGATTAGAACAAAATTATTTCTATTTTGCATTAAATTATGAAATAATTTTTCACAATGCATGTAGTTTATCAAGAAATAGTGTTTACTAATATAGATTTTCTACGAAGAGAAATAATAGTATGATTACTGTTATTTGGAAATATAAACATATTTATATGTATTGTACAAACATACATTTATACTTTGCAATTTGCGCAAACCAATTATTATATACATACATGAATATTGTTAATAAAAATAGAAATTGTTGCAAAACTTTTACTCAATATATTGAAATTATTTATATTTTCATCAAATTGTGTCTAATTATTGATATTAAGCATCTTCTGGAGTATTCAAACATAGCCATGAGTAAAAAAACATATAAAACCACAAACTTTAACCATTTATTCCAAGGACATGATATTTTGAGATACTCAAGGTTTGCAGTACATCATACTCACATATTTTTCAAATAATAAATTATTTTGCAACTAATTGATACTGCAAATTGAAAATTGCATGTAAATGTTTTATGTTTGTATGAATATATTGCAATTTATGTTGATTTTAAATTTATCAAAATTAGAAAAAATTATATGCATTTCATTTAGAAAGGGCCATTTGTATGATACATCATACAAATTTATTTTCCTTCTTAATGGGAGTCGCGGACATAATTTATTGATATGATATAAATTTCTCGTTAATTTAAATAACTAAATTACCTTCCTAATTATGTTTAAATGCATTAGGTCACATAAAAACAAACATATATCGCTATTTATATGATGCAATATACTTATAAGATAATAAAATAATAATGTTAATTCATTTTGATATTATTATATTCTACAAATTATTCACTATCTTGAATCATATCAATCAATAAGATGTATATTACGTATATTATGATGGACATGTTTGAAATAAATGTAAAAGTAGTTTATAGTTATTTCCTTTTTTTGAAGACTCAAATTACCAGATATTATTAACAAATTAAAAAATTTGAAATTATCTTGAAAAAAACATTTTAATCATACCAACTCCGATAAACATTGCAATAAAATTCATTCGGTTAATTTGTTAATACAGATATGAAACAATAAAGAAAAATATATTGTGTTAAAAATTAACAAGTCAATATGATTTATCAATTTGATAAAAATTAATACAATATGGAATGCTTAAAAATTATATTTGTTCACTAGGAACAAAAGGAATTAATTTAAAATCATCTCAATGTATTGCAAATGATCATTTTACTTTTTAGAATAACTTACATGGAACATATTTTCAGAAGTGCAGAGCTTTAATTATTATTAAGATTATTTAATTAGAATTTTGAAGTTCATTTCAATAACGTAATAGTATGAGATAGTTTTTCAATGCTATTGATAACTTTTAAATTGAAATAGGTGAAGTATTGACATATGATATTTCCCTAAAAAATAGATTTATAAAATGTTCATAAATTATCATACCACAAAACACTTGAATATAAACATTTCATTAATTCTATTAATATACATATAGTATTATATATTTGTGGTTGTAACACGATCTTGCTCTAAAAGAACGAACATAAGAATATTGCTGAAAAGGCAATGATATAAACTGTAGATGTTTTGATTAAGTGTTACAATATGTACGTAGTGTGATCAATTTATCAACTGCATTATTTCTTTTCAATATAATACATCTATAAAATACTTATCATAATCAACTTGCTATTGATATATACATTTCTATAATATATATATTTCTATATAATTTCTACATTCGTAATATGAAAGAAACACTATGTTTTATATTAAAGTTGATGAAATTCTGTTTATGAAGTGCATACATATAAAATCATAACCATTTTTCAATAGGCATCGTCTACATATTGAAGTAGATACGGATATGTTCCTAATATTTTAGCAATGTTTTATTAAAAAGTCAGATGTAATTGGAAACCATTTTATTGAAAATATTCAGATAACGAAAAGAATCTGGATCTCATCGACACATATTTTAAATATTTTTAGAATTCCAATTTAAAAGATTTGAATTAAGGCAATTTTACTGATTTATTGAACATTCAATTAGTTTATAAAATATATGACATGTTAAATTTGTTCCTAGCTTTTATTAGTTGAGTGTTTTGTCAAGATTGTATATCCTCCACTTCATAATCTTCGGAAATGTTTACAGAAATGTTTTGGAAAATCTTGAAAGTTGGAATGTAGCTTGAAATCCATAGATTTTGTGTGGATGAGATGTATTTTCTCAATATTTAAATATAAATAATTATCAGGAGGATTGTGTCAATTTAAGAGCATTTATAAAATCTTATGTGATGTTGCACTTTTTTTCTGAAGCACTCCAAGGAAAACCTTAGAGTGTGGAATGGTCTGGAATGGTATTTGGATCTATATTCATTTGCCCACCACTAAATTATCAGTCAAATTCATGTTTTAAAATCAACCTATTTATCTCATTCTTGAGCAGTAATGACTTATGATTTCTTGTGGAGAACAAACACACATTTTTGTGGGGTGCTTATTCCTATTGCAGGAAAGAACTTTATATAGGAATATTTCAGCAACCATATTGCAGTACGTGAAAATATATATTATGAATAGAGTCTGACCGTAGAAATGATAGCGAAACTTCTCAATTATGTGAAGAAAATGCAAGCGCTTACAGCTGCCATGTTGACTCGGCGTTCATTTGACAGAGGGGAGCCAAGTACAGGAATGAGCCTAGACCCAGGTGGCCGTTCGATAGGCTGATTAATCCTGTTTCGTGAGAGTAGTAAGAGGCTAGGTTGCAAGGTGTGATCTCACCCTCTAGAGTTTTTTTATGAGAGCAAAAGTCGCACAGTCAAAAGTCTTCCATATCAGAAAGCCTCGCACCTTCGGCCTTCGTTATTAAATATCAGCTCTAAATATATCACATGACGTGAGATTATCTGAGATTTCTAGTATTGTAGATCATGCCGATCACATAGAACAGTTTTGTCAATGACAAAAGATTTTCAACTTGACTGCTGCATACTGGAAGTACACGAAGTGGCTTGGGAGCTAGTTTTATTTTATGAAAGTGTTAAAGTTCACCAACATCGGGCCCTCTGTTTTAAACATCGGGCGAGAGACTCAGTGAATAAAATGAATCGTTGCTTGAAGCATAAGTTGAGGAATCTAACTTTAGAGTAACTATTCTGGGAGCTAACTATCATCCGAGGCTGACTGTAATTCGAAAGAGATCTACGGACGCTACTGCTATAGACCACAAACCTGGGTTACAGATCGGACGATCTACTGAGGTCCACCGTCCCTTGCTTTCGGTTGGGTTATTAAATTCGATCGAAGTTAAAGTCATTCAACTTATGAACGTAGGGGGAGATGGACTAGACATAGTTAATACAGAAACACACACATACTTACACATGAATATCACTGCGAAGTATGATGGATTGGCACTTTGCTCGACCTGTGACAAAGAATTCTTCAGACTGCGATGTATGTGCAGACTGCGAAGTATGTCGATGTGACCTCGGGGTGATGTAATACAATGATATAATTCAAAACACAAAACATCAAAACTTCCATCAGTCCAGTTCTCATCTCTGGAAACGGATAGCTTGCATTCACCACAGGGCATAACTTTTGTTTCACATTTCGAGTCAGCTGACGCCAGTGAGTGTAGTCCAAGAGCTGAAGAAAGTTGAGTGACAGCGGCGGAAGCATCGAACCTTGCTTTTGCAGCTCGTCCAGCAGCAGCAGCAGCAGCAGAGGTAGCAGCAGCAAGACCCTGGTGTGGGGTGAGATTCCCGGATAGATCTGATATGATGGAGGCGAGTGGACCACTTGCCGGTCAGTCAATGCTTTGTCTCGCCACTGAAATAACAGTTCGCATGAACACTATCCGAAGTCTCCTCTCCTACGAATACGACAAGGTCGTAGCAGTATCCCAAGGGTGACGCGAGATGGAGGAGAGTTTTGAACGAGGAGTGAACGAGCAGCATAGATCCATTCGGGCAGGTGGATGCGGTGCAAAAATTGCTCGGGTCGGGTCGACGCGAAAGAAGGCAGCTAGGAGTCTGAGAAAAAGCGTCCGAATGAATACTCGCCGTCGTGGAAGTTTGAATCACGCTGCCAGGATTTCGCCGATAAGCTCGTACCAGTGAATACTTTACTACTTGGGATTTGGACGTCATTTGGCCCTGGACTTTATGGATGCGCGAGTGCTGGTGTAGGTGGAGAGGATAGACAGCGGTACGGAGGGCATCTAGCCCTCTGCTCGCTCGAGCATGCGAGATCGAAGGCATTCGCTCCGAGAACCAGGCCGCCCCTGGCTCGCGCACCTGGATGTGGAAGTACGGGGGCTTTTGTTAGAAGAAGAGAGGGGATGGGGTTGAGGGTCCCCGGGGGCTGGGGCTGGGACTGGGGCTGGGGTGTATGCGCGTTGCGGGGGCTAACTGCCACCAAATTTAGCCGTGACGCTGAAACAGACGCCATGTCACAATCGGCAAATATATATCTGCGCATCTGGTAATAGGATGGCGTATGATGTGGCAGTTATTTCATGTCACATTGAGCAATGTGAAATTTCGAGCGCGCTTTTCACAGACCGCTGGATATCGAGAGCGGCCACCGGAGTCGGGACCGGCATTCCACGGCAGGACTGCCGAGGCAGCGACCGGATAATCCTTTCTATGTATTGGCTAACACAAGGCGCGCGCTGATTCGCCGAACGGTGCCTCCCATTTGGAAGTAATTGAAATAGATAGAAATCCTTCTCGATCTGCCCGTCCTCCCCTGACACGTGGCGCGACGGTCGTAAATGTTCGGGTAAATGTTATCTTCCCGATCCGTTAAATAGTCCCAACAGCGAAACCTTCCCGAGGCAGGGGGGCAGGGGCCGGGGGAGGGCGCGGGGGCACACGGAGGTCGGAGCGCTCCTGCTCTCGAGAACCCGGCCCCGGGCCGCGGCCCGCTGTGGAATGAATCGGCTTACCGGGCTCTCGGGGCGGCGACCGGTGATTGTGCTCGTGAGACCTCTTTACGACCGCGATATGCGCGGACCAGTTTCGCGGTCCTGACACCTGTTCTCCGCCGGGGCCCGGACTGCCCCCGGAGTCTGGTACGGGGGGCTGTTGACCGGTGATGGAATGCCATTCAACTCACACGTGTACGTCCACTGCGCTGGAAATCTTGCCCCCGCATCATGCATGGAAGCGCTCTGATCCCCCAGAAGCCGTCCGATGCTCCATCTCACGGCGGGGGGCGTTTCTGGACGTTCCCACCCGCTGCTTTCCGTCCAGACCTGGACAGGTCGCCCTGGTCTCCTATCCTCTGCCCCCCCCCCACCCCCCCCCCCGCGCTCGATCTTTCCCCTTTCTCTCTCCTCGAGCCCCCCCTCGCTTCGCTCGCTCGCTCTCTCTCTTCTTCCCATTCGCCTTTTTCTATCTGTCTGCCTGCAGAGGAATTGTATGCGCTCGCGCTTCCCGTCCCAATCCCCCTCCTCCCCACCCAGCCCCGCAATCTCGCAGTCTCCCTCACCCCCCCGCTCCTGCTGCTGCTTCTCCTCGCTCGCACTGCACTATCACTCTCTCTCTCACTCTCTCTCAACGAACCGAACGTGCTGGACGCTCGCTCCTCATCTGTCGTTGTGTCTGCGTGCGCGTGTCCCCCCTCCTCCCGCCCCCCCTCCCCTCACGAAGTGTCGATTGTAGCTACTCTTCCATTGTGGCCTTCCGAGTCCAGTTGTCGACGTAGAGACGGAGAGTCATCGAGGTCGAGAGACGAGGTGGCGGTTTTCTCATCGGAACGATTTCCGAGTTTGAAGTTTCGTCTGCAGTTTTCGACAAGGTGAGGGAGAGATAGAGATAGAGAGATAGAGAGATAGAGAGAGAGAGAGAAGTGAAAAGGAAGTGAAAAGCGTGCGTAAGAAGAACTGAAGTGCCTCGTTTGTGCGGGACTGACTTTCGGGCTCGGTAGGATCTGCAGCGAGAGTGTAATGCGCGGGCACAGGCCTGGGTTTGGTGCTGCGTCCGAGTGTTGATAGCTATGGCAGCGGGGTTCGGGCTCCCTCCGTGTAGTTTGAGATAGTTGTGGCTGCTCCCCGAGCAGCAGAGCGCGAGGGAGGGAGGGAGGGAGGGCAAGGAGAACTCACACGCTTGTCACGAAGATTGCCCCACTGGTTCTGGGAGCAGTAGAAGACCGAGGTCACACTCGAACCACTTAATCAGTCGACTCGACAGAATTGAATCCCCGAAGGAGCAGCAGTCCGGTACCTTGCTCGAGGGACGGGAGAAAGGATAGAGGAACGAAGGAGCTGAAGCAGTTAGAGCAGCGCGGGCAGCCGGGGTTAGTTAGGAGGCGATAGCGTGGTCGGAGAAGGTCGGAGGGCGGAGCCAATTGCTTGCTGCACGTGAGAGAGTAGTCATGGATATGGCGCAGCAGCCGATGAATATGATGCCGGGGCAACAGCAAATGCAGTATCCTCAGATGGCCCAGAATCCTCAGATGCAAGCGCAGATGCAACAGCCGTATCCGCAAGGCTCGCCGGGAGTGCCGTCGCCCCCTGGCCCATCGGGACAGCCGCAGGGTCCGTATCCCGGGGCGCTCGCGCAACAGCAGGTCAGTTTCCAGCATCTGCAGCAGCAGCACCAGCAGCAATTGCAGATGTTCTGGCACAGTCAAATGAACGAAATTGAGCAGGTGTCGGATTTCAAGACGCACCAGCTTCCTTTGGCTCGAATCAAGAAAATCATGAAAGCAGACGAAGACGTAAGAATGATCTCAGCTGAGGCGCCCGTCCTCTTCGCCAAGGCGTGCGAAATGTTCATTCTCGAGTTGACTCTCCGGTCGTGGATTCACACGGAAGAGAACAAGCGCAGGACCCTGCAAAAGAACGACATCGCTGCAGCCATCACGCGCACGGACATCTTCGATTTCTTGGTCGATATCGTGCCCCGCGACGAGCTCAAAGACGAGACTGCTCTGGGCGGGGTGCCCCGCGCAGCTCTGCCCGTGGGCTCGCCAGCTGATGCCATTCCTTACGGCGGTGGCATGTACTACGTCGCCACGGGCCAACCTCAGGGCGGGCCTCCCATGCAGCAGGGGCAGCCGAACATGATGGGCTCTCCGGCTATGATGGTTGGGAGGCCCGGAATGCCCATGGATCCGGCCATGTATGGCCAACAGGCCAGACCTCCGACGATGCAGTACATGCCGCCACAATCAATGCAGCAGATGTGGCCGCAGTCCGGCTCGTCACCAGGAATACCGCCGAGTAGTTGAATGAGGATCACACTGGGGCTTCTCAACTGGAAGTCGCGTCGTGTGCAGTGCAGCAGCTCGATGGTTGATTGTAATTAGTGGAAGTTGGAACTCGATGTGCAAATTCCTTTTCTGCTTACAAGAGTCTGAGAAGGAGTAGGACCAGTTAGTAGGGGCAAGATACAAACACTGGGCGGCGATAAGGCTGGAGTCGTTTGTGTAGATAGCCGTATTGCCGCCATACGGGACCGGGAGTTCTTGATATGACAATCTAGAATGCAGAGCACCTTCTTGAATCACCACCATGAAGCCTTAGAGATGCAATTCGAAGACTCTATCAAGGAATTTGTGGTAGGTTATTTTTATTTTCCAGGATTCCAAATTTTTAGGACCTTGTGATATAGCTGCTGCTTTTGGTCCTTGCTCTGGCATTAAGAATCGACAGGAAGGCAGCAAATATGCTGCAAACACTCCGATGATGGTGATTGTATGATTTGACCATAGTAAATTTCGCTATTTTGTTGATTAATCGAACTCTACGTGCCTGGTTCACTCTGGTCTCAGATCTCTAATCAGGTCCCATGCAATTGGTGTCGTGAAGTCAAGTTCTTCCACTGTCTGTTTTCTGTGAGAAAATCTCAATTCTGGCTGTTTCATCTGCTGAAATTGTGCTAGTTGTGTAGAGGGAGCACATCCTGTACGACTGTAAGTCGTACAGCATGATTGTCAGGTTTGACTACTATGTATCACATTCTGTTCCACACATGTTATATTCAGATCTGAGTCAGCATAGCTGTTCCTGATTTCAGGCACTTAGTATTACTGCTGTGCAATATCTGAAAACGAAACCGCTTGTTGAGATCCCACACCAGCAGTTACGGCAAGGACAGCCATAGCGCCCACAACTTATCTTTTCATTCTCTGAAGGGCTGTAGTGCCATTGTAAACGGGCGAAGTACTTGGTCTCGGAGCAGCCGTCTAACGCGAAGTCGTTTACAAGGGTGCACTTGCTCTCCCGAACACGAGGTGGACTTCAGTGTGATCACAAGTCGGAACGTGCGACGAATTTTCAATCTTCTGCGTCCACTATGCCATGCATAATCATCAACTTTTGTGGCATTGTTACGCCTAAATTTGTAAGGGGTTGGCATCCGGCCTTGAGGAATCTCAAAAGTCCTTGATTGTCTTGCCCATGGAACATTGTTTATTCTGCGGATCTGTTTATCCTGCAACCAGCCGTCTCTGGTAGGGAGCTAATTCAACATGATTACGTAAATACCTTCTCAGCTTAGCTACCTAAGTATGTTCTCTAGCCGGAAATTCAGTCGTCCAAGTGCATGTGAAAGATTCTCATGTCAATGAGGTGATGATAGAGAAAAGTAATGTCAGGAAACAATGTTTGATCGCAGGTTTTACGTTGGCTTACAAGGTATTTCTTGAGCAAAGGGAAATCTTCAAGTATTTATGGTTTGGATAGAAATTTACAACATGATGAGTCTGCAACGATAGGTCTCACCATCCCCCCCCCCCCCCCCCCCCCCCCCCGGAATAATTTTCTATGCTACTAATTCATGGTGAGTAGAACGAAAGCTAAAACCATGGACAAATTTAGCCGCCTTAACATTCACAACAATCGGCGCGGAAGTGACTGTCGTGCAAAGTAGTAGCACAAATTGTGCAATTGAAACTTACCCTTTCTTATAGATCCAATGATCTCCACATTTAAATTTTCCTGATTGATTCTTCGTTCACGCACCTTCATCTTGTTTGAAATTAGCAACGCCTTTAGGCATGGGAATAAACTCCGCTGCAATAGTTAGTGGATATTATCAGGTTTCCAGATGGACCCATAAACATGCTCTCATCACATAAACCCATCCCCGTCCAATACAATTTCACTGCTCATGTGAACGGGTCCATAAAACTTGATTTTGGTAATTTCAGGAGAATATTTCTTCTGACTACATTGTACAGAGTGGAAGAAAACAGTTGGAAATGATACATTCTATGCGATGTATGAGATGACTCTTTTATCCGTAAATGCTTCTCCCGTTAATCATCAAACATTGTCTGGGAATTATGTTGAATGATGTGTCAGTTAGGAGATTCTGTATTGACCTTGTTTTCATTATGTAACTTGTAACCATTGATTCTAAAGTCCAAATTAGATATGTCATCATCTATTTGTTTATGGTACATCGCGTACTTTTTGCAACCAAAGTTTCTTGAGATATTTCACTTGGGAACTCAATAGTTCATGTTCAGGCATGGCATTTAAGTTGTTCCTGTACCTTATCTGTGTATCTTATTTTATTCAGCAATTATTGGGTCTTGAACAAGGATTTATATTTGTTTTAAATATGAAAGTGATATTGTCCTGAAATAAAAGTCATCCATTTATCTCACTTTTAAGTTGTTATCCTCCAAGCCAGATCGTTCTTCCATAAATTTTGTATATAAGATTTCATTGAATGTAGTGAAAGGTAGCATATGTATAATTTATCACTATTTTTATTCAAATTCAAATATTATATAAAATTAGACTTAGACTGATATATACAAGGACATTACTTGCAACCTATATGTAGAAGGAAATCGTTTAGATATATAGATAAAATTTTGTTCAATTGCTTGGGGATTTTTCAAGACAGCCAAGAGAAAGGGCTATCTATCGAATAGCCATTCCGGCCAAAGTCATGATTCTAGCAAAAGCAGAGTGATTGGCAGCTTAAGTCTTTAAAATTTGATTTTTTAGTTTGCTTGAAATGACCTTTTGAATGGTACGTCCTGAAATAGTCTAGTGCAAACGAAGATAGATACGATCATGACGATGATCGCCCTCGTTTTACTGATTGTACGTTCAATCGGTTGTACGACTCTGCTTTTGGCTAAAGCGTTGCCAATCAGCTCGTTTCCGTGTCGATGGTCAACGACATGCTGCGTGTTTGATGTTTCTCTCAGGTTCTCTCTAAGTGCAATTGATGAGGTGCTGACCTTTCCGGCAGGTGGTTTGTTGAGATTGAGCGTGAATTGCTTCCGCCAGAGCATAAATATCTCATAATTTTACTTCCTCGTCCCCGGCATGGAACTGGATTCGGCTTCAGTCGGCCGTTCATGCTCTAATGCAGGCGGCCTGCAAACATGGGTCGCCAGGGGTCCATCTTCTTCCTCATGGATATACGTTGAGATGTATTATCCTTCTGTGACTGCAGAGCACCCAACCCACTTCCAAGCTCGATGAAGCATCACGTGAGTTGACCAAATATTTGCCACTCTGTAGCAAGCACACGCGATTCTTTAACAAGCGTCAAGTGTTTCGCCAAATGCGCAGGTCCCGGAGGATCTCTTGAAGAAGGCTCGGCGGCGTCGGCGGTTCTAACGAGCTCCGATAGATCTCCCTCCTTCGAGAGTGAGACACGGAATCCATCCATTTCGACGACCAATTCCATCCACAGTTTGAGATGTAGCTTCCACGAGAAGCTGGCTTTGATTATGCATGAGCCCCACTTAGGATCCCACAATGTGCATCTTCTCCAAGTGAGTTGGACCCTTCCTGAAAAGCCCCCATCCTCACGGATGGCATGTACAAGATGCCCCAACGTTCGTTTACGTTCTCGTGCTGGAGAAGAAGGAGAGGTTCCATTACGAGCGCTTATATGTGATTCCATTGATCATTAGAAGTACAGAGTTACATGCTGTGGCACCACACTTTGCGGCGGCCGAACCATGAGCATGTTATCATGTGAGTGTATCTGGTGTCATCATTTGTTGCATACGGATGGTCACATGAATGCATGAAAGTCGACATGCGTGTTTGATAATTTTGGATGTTGTGTTGTACGTAGGTTTATTAAGCATTGAGAACATAAAACCCTTGTTCTCTTCTTCACTTTGGATCGTAGATCAAGTCAAGAAGGGTGGGCATGGTTACATCACTTAGTTCCTTGAATTATATAAATTAGTTTAATTTAGTTGTATCACAAAATTTAATTTAATGCTAAAAGTCTCATTTGAAAGCTAGCTAGTGATTCCGAGGTAGAGTGAAGGTTACACTATGAGACGAAATAACATTTCATTTACAAATGTAGGATTAATGTACCATAAATTAACATTCAGTTGTGATGATTGTTAATTTACCAACTTCCAATTTTGAGCCAATTAAGGTCTAGATGTTTCAATTCAAGAAACGTCAATATAGAAAATTTAGACGACTTGATATATAATAATTAAAATAATCATACCTGTGTATGGGGCATGTGGTATGAGCGTATTTCTTTCGTATCATGAAAGATACTAGAGTAATGATGTGAGATATAATTATATCATTGTCATAATCATAATTTATCTTAACAATTTCAAAATTCTCAACATTCACTACGAAAGAATATGGCCATTCCTCCTAATAGCAAGGTCTATTTATGCTTAAATAAGAAGCGAATGCATGTTCAAGGATCTTACATCTGCCATGGATTTTCTCATATTATACTTATCCTTATATATCGGGTTAGCGAAGACTTGATTTGAGCCATCCAGTTTTATTAGTGAAGTGTGTGAACGTGATTTTCGTATATGGATATATTACATATTCATAGGATCTCATGTACATGCATGAGAAGTTCATTCCGAAGATAGAGAATAACACTCCATGATCTCATTACCATCGTGATTTTTGTCACATTTAATAAGATTCAGACATGCAAATAACATTAGTAAACTTCGTGGTTGATAAGAACAAGAAGAAATCTATATTCAATATTACATGCTGTGATTTTTAAACCCTTTTTTTAGGATATTGATTTTACATCTGCATGGATGGAAGTAGAGTTGAGTTATAGTATTCCTGTTCTCCAAGAATCCATAGTGATGATTTTTAGGTGTAGTTACATTATTATTTCTATGCAATTGTGAACATTGATATAACTTCATAAAAATTTAACATAAAAAGATAATATTATCATATTTTTAGCTTAGTGTATAGAGTACAGTATTATGAAATTTACAAGTAGACCATCATTTAATAAGAGACAAGCTCTTTTGTGAGTGGTAGCAAATTTTATTGCTATGAATGTAATAGAGGCTGTCATGATCCATAATAACCATAAGAATACACCATGTGATACTTTTTGATATGGTATGCTCTTCATAGAACAATACAAAAACCGGAGAAGTATCATAAAGTGTGCTCACGTTACTATGAATCATACCAACTAATTTCATATTCATCGATAGATATTATATTTATGAAAAACCGCATACTTTTTATTGCGACACTATAAAGTTCTAGAGCCATGTTACCTTCCGATTTCATGACCTTTTGTTCCCATCATTATTGCTAGACTACTTGGTTCCATGAGATTCACGCAGTTTTTATCCAAATTGACGTCCAATCTTACCAAACTAGACCTCACACACATCTGAAATTTCAACATCTCACGGATGCAAATTGTCAAATTAGTTAATTACTGGAGGCCCCACAATGAATCGAGAAAAAAAATGAACTGCCTGATGATAGCAACTCAGTGTAGACTGAGATTATGTTCTAGACTCGACTCTTACTACGAAAGCCCCCTCTGTTCTGTGACGCTTGAGGTGTGCGAGGGAGTAAGTTACGTTCCCTACGAGTACGAGCAATTAGATCTGCATTAGGCGAACACTCCGTACATTCGGCTGTTGCTCATTCCTGATAACTATAAGCAATAATATTGATATTATGATTATTCGTAAATCATGGAAGATGATATGCCACGCAAGAACCGAATAATGATGGTTTTCATTTCTACTTCAGTTTGAACCTTGTTGACATTGACGCCAAGAAAAAAACGCATTAAATTTAGTCTACTTCAGCTTCTGACTTTATTCTGATTATGTAGGAGTCGGTCGACTTGACTGGGTCATGTATGGGGAGACCATACAAGCATCCCACGTTTTTGGGTAAGATCAAGAAGGTGACATTTTTGTTTATTTCATTTCAATGTCACAAGTAGTTTTGGCTTATTATTACATCCCCTTTAAATATTCGTATGGCATTCCCGTGTAAATAGTGCTCCTGTGACATGGTTAAAATTTTTAAGGAGTTACAAACAATGGAGGATGGAATATTTTCCACCCATTGTATCGTCCAAATGTGTGAAATCTATTGGCATGTTTTTGAAAAAAATTATGTTACTTCAAAATTTCCCAGAAACATTAATTTTGTTTGAAATGTGGAGAGCAGATACGAATTTTACTTAATCGTTAGTCTGTAAGATGTAATGATGAACATTTCCTAAGTAATACTTACAATGAATTTTTTTTCATATGTCATCGAATATTGCACACTTTCTAGTCAAATTGATTTTGGGGTCCATACTTTATATCTTGAGATCAACGTGGACAAGTAATTCATCCAGGTGGTAATTATCCTCGAGTAAAATAACTACAACCCGTCAAACTAAAGTGTGCAATATTTGTGTATAAAATTCCATGCCTTTTTAAACTTTAATTGTCTGAAAATAGAGAATAAGCTAATTTTTTTTGAGATACATTAGTTGTGATATTTTTCAATGTTATATAATTTTTTATCAAAATGGGTTGGTTTAATTTTCTCTATACATCATTAGTAAATTAAAGTCCATCTAGATGGGAGTTTTAAATATAGAGAAGTGGATGGAAATGAATTTTTTTTCACAAATCAAGTCCTCATTTCCATAATTATTTAACAACAGATTTGAATTTCTTCAAAAGAATGTTTTATAAACAAATGTAGAACATAAAGATCTTTTTTTTTTACAGTACTCCTAACAAATTAACTAGAACTTTCAATCGCCTTTAAATTGCAGGAGCAAATAAAAGTATGAATCCTAGTAATGAATACAGTATCGTTCACTAATTGTGGTCGAGGCCTCTTGTGATAAAAACATGTAATGGAATCACTTGGAGATTGAAATATAAAGCTTTTAAATTTTTTTCATATGTAGCTCACTTCTAATAAAATTCAATAATTGTTACTGTGTTTAGAATATATCAAGTAAGGCTTAGAGAAAACATCGAGACCCAATTTTAGTATCCCTAGAACGTATCGAATTGATCATTATACGATTGGAAATTATATTCTTATGTATTGTATCAATCTTCGGGGCTTTAACAATTTAAGCCTCCAAAAGTGGTGAGCGCGAGACGCACGACGTAACATCATCAAACGAGGAACCAAAGGAGGAAGGCTCAACCCGGTCAGGGCATGTACTGCAGTGAGGTAGACAGTCGGTGCAGTGCAGAGGGATACCGGCAACCGGCTGTGGCCTGTTTTGTCGTGGATAGGACGAGGATTCTCGCAGCGCAAGGCAAGCCGGGCCGAGCGCCGAGCATGGCCATCTTCTGAATCCTGATCGACGGAGGAATGCTGGGATCGATTCCCACGGGGGGCCGAGAAATTAGAATTTTCAGTCGGTGATTGAAGGGAGGCAATCTTGGTGCAATTTGATGATGGCAACGATGCACACTCTGGGGATTGTTGTCCCGTCGAATGGTTGTTGTACGAGAAGAAATTACAATTCGCGCTCGGAGGCTGAATTCTGCGGTGGGAAAATCGTCCCGCGGCGAGCACGCGGTTTCGTCGCCGGCGTGGAAGCTGTAGATTTAGCTGAGCTTTTTAATTTGCGGAGGAACGCGCCAGAGAGGGTCCGAGAGGTTCAGGCGGTAGGAAAAAGCTCGAGAATTTGGGCTTCGGTCTCGGAGGTTGATGAGGCACCGAAGAAAATCAAAAAGGTGGAACAAAAGCAGCTGATTTTGAAACCTCCATTGAGTGACAGCAATTTGGCCGAAAGGTTTTTATCAAGTCCTCAATTACAAGTGAAGAAGTTCCCACTCTTAAGCTCCTGTTTGCCCGTCGTGAACTTAAACAGGCTTGATCAAGAATGGATAGACGAGTACCTCATAGAAGTCAAAGACGCACTAGGTTATTCCATCGAAATTCTCGAGGCTCCAGAAGACAGCCCGGCAAGCCACTTGGATTCCCTTTTGTTTCTCGCCTTCCAGCATAAGTTCTCGAAGCGAGGGAGAACAAAACTTGTGGGAATTGGGCATTCTCGATTAGCATTTTTAGGACAGTACGTCTTGGAGCTCGCGTTCTCGGAATTGCTGCTACAAATGTATCCGACGGAACGTGTGGGAAGTTTGCGAGAGAGAGTCTTCAACGTGACGAACAAGAGGGTGCTGCCAAAATGGTTATACAAGGCCTCTTTGAATGCTATTGTGTTCCCAGCGGAAGAAACCGAACAGATACCAAAGGATGATCGACAAGTTGCTGTAAGGTACGGTTGGTGTGAATCAGCAGTATGATGCCATTGAAGTAACCAGTTTCTGATATGTTGGCAAAAAAATTCTTATTTGTGACCTCATCTCTCAAGGTTGCAGGTTCATATAGAAACTCAAGAAAATTCGGTATCTGATGAATAGATTTGCCGGCAATCTTCGATATGGAAGGCTCCGCTGTCTAATGTAACGAAGTGTTGTGTCTCTGCCGCAGGAGTGTATTCTGGGCACTAATTGCTGCAAACTATCTAACCTTAGGAATGCCAGAAGTGTATCGTATACTTTTTGAGGTTTTCGGAATAGATCTTGAAGCTCCGGAGGCCCTGCCTAAACCTCGGACCAGCCTCCCTGATGAAGATTATCTATCACCAGATCTCGAGAGAAAGCTGACTTGGCAGGAGATAGCTGCATATCAGGTAAATAGCGGGCGTGGATCCAGTATACGTATAACGTTTTCCCTTCACATCTATTGTTACGTACTTTCCTTTTAGATTCTACTTTGATCATATCGGAGGACGATGAATGTATCATCAGGTCGAGCTCGAGACGTGCTTGTAGTTAGAGTTTTTTTCTTCAGGTTCCGTCTGCAGTGTCCGATGTGAGGGAAGTTAAAGGCATTGTCTCGGACGACATGTCTGGAGTACCAGGTAGATATTGCGGACCTCATTTGATGGGCGGAGTTGACTTTTGGGTGCAGGCTCCTGAGGACTCTCTTTTCTCATCTCCAAGGCTTTTTAGAGCCTGTGTTCCTCCTGGAATGCATCGCTTCCGAGGAAATGAGTGGGAGATTCTGAGTTTGCCGAAAGTTATGGAAGCTTTGGAGTATCCGCGTCCCGTGCAAGACTCGCAGCCTGAAATTACTGAAGCCAGGAATATAGAACTCGGGCTTGGACTTCAGGTACCTTTTACACTATCGGTTTTTGTTATTGCTTTTTGTTCTGCGCAACTTGTTCACTAATGATTGTTGTTGATTAAGCTTTGATTTAGTTTTAAATCAGCTTGCTAAACTGTAAAAAGCATATTCCAGTTGGCAATAATATATAGCAATGGCTATGAAATCTGCAGCTATGCTTTCTTCATCCTTGTAAATTCAAGGGCGATCATCCCCGGTTTTGCTATGATCGGTTGGAGTACATTGGTCAAAAGATCCAGGTACGATATTTTCTCATCTTGTCAGTCATGAGAATTAGCAGTGGAAGCGTATTTTGGCACATTGAATGGATCTGGTCAGAAGGACATGTTGAGTGATGCACATTCTGTTGCTTTTTGAGAAAAACATATGCTTTCTGCTTGTGCTTTCCAGCCATCTGGCATAGTCATAGCCATTCTTCTTTAAGGACGTGTCTTAACTTCAACTCTTCAATTCCATGATTGCCCTAACCACCTTCCTTACCTTTATGTCTACAAATAGTTCTCTCGTCTGCATGCTAATCGCACAAAGGTCCTTGCATAATGTGAAATGGATCTGTTAGTTGAGAAGACCAAGTTTTGATTGATAAATCAGATGTTATCTCAGATCGTTTGCAAAGGTTACTAGTTCAGGTCCTTTCTCCTTCAATTCCGGCGGAAGAATTCTTGTCAAGAACTTCTTTAGTTGAGACTGCTTGAGAAAGATAAGCCATTGATGATGATATAGTGTACCGGGTCATCCACTCACTCAAAAGCTTACACTTACCTTTGTATTAGCAGTTCACAGGCAGGTATTGAGTACCAGTATTATCAAACTTCGAGTGGCAATGATCCAAGTTTTAGTTTTCCTCCTAAAGCCTTACCGCGAGGCTTTGCCATGACGATTTAAAGTGTCGGTGATATTTTTGTAGCTAATTAATGGTGGGGAAAATGAATGCAACTTGTTTTCTCTCGGTCTGACCTTCTCCCCTTGGACAACTGCATGGTTATACTGTGCTTGTCCATATATGCTGTATAATACAGATCTGTCACAAGCTACTGGTCGCTGCTTCCTTATTTTTTATTCGTGCTCTTTACTCTATAGTCACTCGCTTTTAACTTCTAGCTGTACTAGTGGTACTTGTCTCCCTTGCCTTGCATGTGGTCTATAAACACACGTTGGGTAGAGTATTGCACTTCACTGTCTGCTTCGTTTCTACCCCAGCTAGGAGACACCACCAAGAAGGGCAGTCCCTTTTGGCGTCATTTTTAATCAACTTCTCGAAACGAAGATGGATTATGACCCCAAGATGCCGCATTGACCTGCTGCACCTTTGCCCTATGGAAGTCTCACATACGCGCAGGAATATAGACTGTAGGTGTGAGACTGTGAGAGGATTCTTTGGTCGAGCTTTCCATTACGCAAGGTACCTTGGTTCGATCAATCCATCTTCCCTTATATCCTGGACAAGGTTGGAAACAAATCTGACGCAGTCTGAAGTCCTCGTAAAGGCATAGAAAAGAGCCTCTCCAACGAGTAGTATTGAAAGTCTGTAACTCTGCATATAGAACCTGCAGTGAAGCACAAAATTACTAATTTCCGAATTTACAACAAAGATTAGACGAGGATCCACCTTCCTGTCGCAGTGCATTGATGGGAAGCCAAGGCTGCACGGCCACAAGAGAACTGTAACTAGAATGGTGTGAAATGATGGATATATACCTAGAAGACCTCATGACTCTCTGGCCAGGCACGCCACAAAAGAGTATCTGTCTGCTTGTCCAGATATCTGGGCCTGCTGGCCGACACTTTTGAGAAGTAAATTCGAACTCCAAAGAGCTGAGAATACGGCAACGAAGTAACAGTGTAAGAATCACAAGCTATCAACAATATTCGTTCTTTTGGGATTGTAAGAAATACAGCTAGACAGACTGCTCCTTGTCCAATGGAATATTTTGAACTGCGAAATGCACAATGATTCTATCTGTATCATAGAACTTGCTATCTACAGTGTCTACTACATACAGTTGTGATGGTATCAGAAAATTATCTCAGTAGCAGCTTCTTTGAGCCTACAACTTCGAAAAGTTCATCATTTCATTACGAGCTTCTTGAAGAAGTCCTACTTTTGCATGCAGCCGATCCCAGTTTCTTAAAGAATTGTAGTCTTGGACAAGGTCTTTAGTGGGAATCATTTAAAATTTCATGTTCTACGTAGCTCTTTCTGAAAGATAGGTGTAGGGCTTTCTTGACCAACTAAATACTCTTCGTGTCCTTTTGATTTCTCTATTAAGGTTTATTCAATGTTTGTCCTGAGGGCTCTGGGTTGTTGGTTTAGAAACCTAGGACGCCACAGTGAAAACTTTACCTTGGGACATCGAAGAAAACCCATCCGTTGCGTTGTTAACGTGCACAAATTGCAATATTTGCTCAGTTTCGCAAAGTCTCAATATGTACTGGACGAGATAGTCCATCCGTATTCCTGTGATGCTGTCTATCCTGGATTATGCTCGACGTTAATTTTGTCCGAACAGGTGACTGAAATTTTGCGACAGCACTGACTTGCTCTTACTATCTGCGAGCACCGGTATGCTCTAAGATTACAGTGCATGATCTGATTAGTACTTTTTTTCTTGAAATTCCTGATATATAATCTCTCAAGTTTCTAATCCTCAAGGCAATCATTTTGAAAAGTATGGATTGTTTTTTCTACAAAAGTTGTTTGTGTTTTTGTTTGTTTCTGCTTGGAAGTGCTTTTACCGGTAGATTGTGGTTTTTTAACATCTTGATGTCATTGTTTACAACAATTTATTGCCTGGAAATGTGCCTTATGTATCAAGCATGTTTTGCGACGGGTATGTGACCGTATGACAAGAATGCGATCAACATATGAAGTACGAGGAATAAGAGAAATTTAGCCACCAGCGTCACCTCATCTGGCCACCTCTAGTTGAAAGGACTTGCTTTTCCATACTCTGGATAATGACAAACGATGCGTCTGTCCATATGTGTCGACCTGCAGGACGTGATTCTGGCCGAGCAACTTCTAATGAAACATCTTGACGGGCCCGCTATATGGCTGGAGAGGAAGCATCGGTTGCAACTCATGAATCGATTATGCGGGCGAACTCTAAGAGAAAAAAAACTCACATGGCACATTGCATATGATGAGGAACGTAAGGAGTTATTTGAGAAAAATCGACGTCTTCGCAACTTTGCTACGACAAGTGTACAGCATGCAATACACGGGCTCGGGTATCTCGTCTATGGCCGTTCTGATGTCCGGCGTCTGATGTCTAAAATTTTCCCCGTAGAACATTTGATTCCTCGCAATTTTCTGTAAAAGCAAGTTGGTTTCAACATACTGGGTATAAAGATAATTTCACCCACGGTTCCACTTACCAAAACCTGTGCTTTGATGAATGTGCCCTGCTTGTTGGGCGAGTTTTTATTGCTGTTGTGATCCTTGCTTTCCTTATGGCATTTGTTACACTAAAATGGCGCACGCTGGGCTTTACGACAGTGACTTTAGGATCTGAGATGTATTCCTCTGCCACTTCTACCTCCGGGTGGATCAGTTCGTGCATAGGAAACTTAGACAGGAGACACAAAACCGCGAACTAAAGCGTGGCTGTAGGAGGAATAGGGTCATGTCTAGAGTCGAATCGGTCATGTTTAACATTCTGATATCATCTCTTTGATTGATTAACTAACCAAGAACCTTTCGAGCAGAGCTGGTTCAGGTATGCCCTTATTTTCGAAAACGCTGGGTCGCACACTTTGGTACCAGTACTCTCTACCATTTTAGGGTACCTTGTTTTTTGGCGTTGTTACACCCGAGGAAAGTAGAGATAGTATTTTACCTCGTGTTGCCGGAATATGTTGACCAATGTGGACCATCAAAATTCTTCTTTTTTATTTCATCACTCATGGTCTAAAGTGTCCATACTTCTCTGGGATACAGGAGTTCGTTGGTGCATGGACTTGAACTTAATCGTGTGGTTATTCATTGCGAGTAGGAAAGTACTTTCAACAGTACTTTTCACTTTCTGAAAAGTAATCCTTAATGAAGTTTTCATGGGTATAGTCGAGTTCCATTGGATGTCATCTGGCTTTGCCAAGGCAAGCCCTGGGCCGGGCTAAGGCCGCTGTGTGAGATTTGATGACATTGTGCAGCACAAGTGGATAAGATGCTATGACACTTTGGACAGCGTCCAAGCGAGGGAGATTGTCTGCATGTAAGAGTTCATTACATCATGCTCCCTATATAAAACTTTCCTCCCCAATTCAGAGAAGGTCACCTACGGTGAACCTTTTTCGCGTACCATCTAAGATTAGTACAGTACGCAGTCTAGAGGGTTCTGAAAGTTGAGAGGAAGTCTTCATTGATGCAAAGGTTTGCAAGTCGAAACCATGAGCAAGAAGATAAGTTTGCTACCTAGGTCCTATTACACCTGAGGAGAGGTTGGTCATCTACTCCCACCCCTACCACCTTAGACACATCGTGATTACTGGGGTCTGTCATGGTAGTTTCGGATGTAGATGAAAACATAGACCATGTGATTATGTATGTGATAATGCTGGATACACGTATAGGATATATGTACACAAACTCTACTTAGATGTGAGACGAAGAGCTTGATCAGAGTGGTTGGAACAGAACATAAGATGTATGGCTATAGCTCAACAAATGTTGTATTCCGGACCTGGTGCTTCTACATAATATGACGTAGATATTGTGGAGTATATGTGTACACCAGCACGAACATGTGCCTTGACTCGTAGTGCAGCAAATCCTATTGAGTCTAGATGAGCGTCCGTGGAATTGGATATGAGAAGAGAGTAACTTCCGTGGAATTAGATCCAGAGGAAGGAGAGGCTGGTCGACGAGGCAAAATTTTCATGTTATTCGGATGAAGCATTAAATCTATGGTTCTTAGATGAACTACTAGAGAGATGAGAATGTAATACAATGTTCATGTACTTGGAGAGAAAAAGTAGAGTCCAAACATCAAAGTCCAAGTAGAAATCTACACTGTCAATACGTTTCACCAATACACACTCATCACAATAATATGATAATAATAATGTGAATGTTAATATTTAAAAAATTTGAAAAAAAATACAGTCTGAGTCTAATCCACTTGTGCATCAACTATTATTTTCTTTACTAGCTACTCTAGCCATAGCCACAATCTCTACGGTTCAATTTCAAAGAATCAAGCCTCACAAGACCTAATTAAAAAGCCTTGATTCAAAAATTGCCAACTTCTAGCAGCACTCCCATTCTTGAAAGTTCGATCATTATAACCAAGAGTAAAACTAAAACGTTAAATCGATCAACTCAAACTTAGAAGTGAATATAATCTAATTCTTTCAACTTGTACTTAATTTCATTGACGACTTGAACATCTTACAAATAATTGATCGAAGCTACTTTTGATCCGAAGATCACAAACACAAAGTGGCTATATTTGTCCTTGCGTATAACTATCTAAATACTAAGTGAATCACTTCATAGTTCATAAAACAGACTAAATAACTTCAATTTTCAATAAAATATGCGTAGTTTTTTAGATAGTAGTTTATATCACTTGTAAATCTAATTTAAGATTTAATTTTTTTTCAAGGGGTACATGATCAATTTTCAAATTATTACAATTAAACTTGATTCTATAAATAATTTTTTTAACGAAAGAATACATTTTTCATTTCACAAATATAATTGTGGGGAATGACAACAAGCAATATAAACAATACAATATTTTTTACTTGAATATCATCTTCGTGAAGTAATCATTAACCAACAATTTTAAATTTGTAATTCCTGTGTATACCATCTCTCTGTACTTTTAGTTTTAGAAAAAAAATGTATCTTGCAATCAATTTTTTAATATGAAAATTCACTTTTCTTTGATTTAAATTTTTTTTTGTGGGAATTACAACTATAAAGTATTAGATCACTTTTGTTGCGAAAATAATAGATCCCATCAATGGATGAGTTAGACGACATCAACTAAACTGTAAATATTGTAAAATGTTATCATGAAGACTAGTGCATGATACTAGATTCTTTCGTGACTTGGGCGCTACATAAAACTTGATCCAACAATATGCACTTAACATAATATAGCCATGGAAAATTCGTCTTGCATTATCATGTGCTATGCAATTACTTTATACTTTTTCTGGGTTTGCGTGTTCATGTGTTTATTCAAACTTCATATCTTAATTGTCAATATAGGTGCAACATGACATTCATGGATGGATGGAAACACTTGCTACAAACTATAGTAATGTTCACAATGAATAATGGTATAAACTCACGATGATATGAAGTTTATAAATAAAAATAATTACATAGATTAAAATTGTATAGTGATATCATTTAGATATTATCAATATTATAAAGTAAAATTTTATTGAAAATTTTCATTTAATATACATTTATATGTACAATATATCAGATCTATTTAATTTCATTATGTTCTTTGCAAATGATGCAAAAACTGCTACTCTTGTGCTCGAAATCTTATCGTGCGAATATATATCGTCATACAATCTACATCGCTGACATGCTACTCACATACGCATACACACATATAAAGCGCGAACGTGTACACATTCAAATGTCACAACTCGCCCCCTTAGCTGGCGGTCAGGTCCCTCTAACTCCCAGGTAGCACTATCCACAACTACATGCTATACACCTTCATGGGTGCACGAATCTGTAGGTCGGGTGCTAAGTTGCCCCATCGTTAGTCGGCTATCTGCAATTCATAACATGTGAAGATCAAGTCATCTACCCCTCTAAAGTACATCGAGGACAAACCCATCGTTCAGCCGGAATAACATCGATAGGCGGAGTTAGGCACGACATGTGCCATCCCCTAGAACACATATCACACATCAACATACGGGCCGTCTGACCAACTGACTCACATAGCATGCATCTCAAGCCAGCACGTACTATTGCTAAGCTTGGATTCATAGTACAATCTAGGTTTAAGAGGTGGCATGGCGCACCATTGCGCACATGATACTTCCAAACAACGGTGTCACGATCTTCCAACATGAAAACTCCAGAAGATAACACATCCCGCACTCGCAAGATTGTGCGTCCCGCCGTCACATCCAATGTCGTCGGTGCAGTCTGTTGTAGATAGACGTAGTCTCCCACATGGAATTTACGAATCGATGATCGATAGCCTCCTCTCCGAATGGTTGCATATCGCAACGTATCTCTATGCTGAGCAATCGCAAAATTCTCAAACGCTGTAGGCATAACTCTCCGAAAGAGCTCAGCACGTTGAGAACATACTCTCACCCACGTGTTTCGGTCATCAAGGTTCACCACCTCGCTAGACTCACGACGAATCGATGTTGGCAAGTCTGGATTTCGGCCGTATAATACAAAATATGATGAGAAGGAAGCCAAGGATGCTTGACGACTGAACCGAAATCCCATGACCAACCATAGTAACTGAATATTCCAGTCTCCAAGATGCCATTTCTGTAGGCCATACTTGCGCAACACCTTCTTCACCGTCTGTACAACACGTTCAACCAAACCATCCGCCTCTAGATGATCTCGCGACATGATTCGATGATCAATCAGCGCCTTGTCACACAAGACCTGAAACTCACCCTGAAATTTTGTACCCTGAACGGTCAACACGTCAGTTGGTGCACCAAAGAGATTAAGCACCCTATCAAGGAAGGCATACGCTGTTATGCAACCTCCGGGCTAAATCTCACTCAGGTTTATCTTAGATGGCTTTTCGGTAGCTCATCATGATTCTAGAAGACTAGGATTACTCCTCATACTCATAGCTCAAACACCCTTTCAAACAATATTTCAAGGTATCACTCAAACTCACACACACATCGACACTCCAAGGTACTGAAAATTCGTAACTCTTTCATATATGAAGCAAGTCTCTACATATGAACTCTCCAAACTTGCTTGAGAGTCTCTTCCCTACCTTTCTATATATACTACTTGAGAATTTACCATAGTAACAAATGGTAATTCTTATCTAACTTACTTTTACAAAGATAAAACATAGTAAGGTTGACTAGTTATCAATATGTGACAACATGCCATTGGGCTCCTAAACCTTCTAGATGTTTACTAATCCCTAGATTGAGCTAGCGATATGCTATTTGTGTCTTTCCAACTTCTAGAACTTCCACTTTCCACTAAGTCAACATAAGACTTAGTCTAACCAATGGAGTACTCCTTACTTAGTCAAACCAATCAAAACTAAACATGAAGTCAAAAAGTATTTTGTACAAGCCATAGACTTTTGTACAAGACAAAATAGAAATGCTCAATCAAATCTTCTAGAAACTCTCTACTTATTCCGCCAAGTATAGATATTTTAGCTAAACTAGCTA